GAAATTCAAAAGCCATTAGCCATCGAGTACAACATCCATACGATTCCTTTGACCCCTCAAGAACTTCCTGACCCTTGTCTCCCGATTATACAACCCGATTATTAACCCATTTTTTTTACCCAACTCGTTATTTGACCCTCATATGCCATTAAGATGTTCATGAACACATTTTTATTGTTATTTTATGCAGTTTTGACCCATGTGGGTCAACGCAATGTACAATGACGATTGATCAGGAATTTAAAAAGATCTCAGCACTTTATCTCGCCGGGACTTGAACTTGCGATCTCTCGCATGTGAGACAACGAACTTACCCACTGCGCCAAGTCTTCGGGACCTGGGGTACGTCTAAAATTCACGGATTTATCGGCTCGATGATTCCAATTCAAACGAGGATAATCCACCTGCAACGATCTCCCCCAGCTCGATGGAGACTGGGTCAACCGGGTTCATGCTGAAGGGTGAGCTTACCTCTAATGAGCCACATAATAGCCTTTAGTTATATAATCACTCTCATCGACCCGGCAAAGCTCTCAATACCAAAGTATTCGATATTTTCCGTCGCTCATTCTGTTTACCTCTGGGAGGTAAACAGTGCTCCATTGAAAACAATGGGATAACAGAACGAAATCCAATACGACTGGAAATGTTGACACGAATCAATTTCACGGGAAAATTAAATCCTTTTGGAAAATTAGCTTCGAGAGTGAGGGACATTTATTTTCGGGAGGGCTGTAAGGTATTCTATGAAAACAATTTACCCGGTCATTCAATCTCGGGATTTGGCGAATGCCAGTGCATTCATGCGCAGAGAGAAATTCTATGGAAAAATTCCAGTGTCGGTGCTAAAAATTTTATTGAGCAAAGGCCAATTTTTTTATCTGACCCCCAGGAAAATGTCTATTCATTGTAAAAATTTTTGGGGTGTTTTTTTCATTGTTTCAGGGTTGATTAATGCGTATTGCTTGAGTGAAATGGAATTACTAGCCGGTTAAACTCAATGATGTGACCCTAATAACGCCTCATTTACGGGAATATTTACGACGAGGTTATACGGAGATATAGCACGAGGAAAACGGTTTCATAAACCACCACTGGGTAAAAGATAATGTAGTCGTGCACGTTTCTCCCTGGTTGCATTAAGTTATGATGATTAATGGCTTTAGTGATTTATCCCACATCACGAGAATGCAGATGAGATTAATTTATTAATCCGATAGTGTCTTAAAAAATTAAATCACTCGATAGTAAGAGCTCCATAATTCACCCCTAGACTGCATAATGATAAGATACTCCGAAGTATCAGAGTAGTGCCAAAAACTTTTCAATTCAATCACCAAAGTTCGTGTGAATTTCAAAACAAGTTTCATCGCCTCCGGGCAAACGATGACGGAAACAAGAGGCAAAAGCTGAACCCCGGTGTACCTGAAGTCACGGAGAAAAGACAACAGCGTTCAACAAAAATAAGAGCAAAGGTGAGAGAGGAAAATAACAACAACCCAGAGTAAACAACAGTGTGTACCGAGTGGATTGTGTTTCAGAGAGGCTGTTTACATCTCATTCGTCCTGGATCCTTTCAAAGGAACAGGCGAACGGAATTACGTGGGTTCCAGTCTTTCCCACGAAAAAATAAATATTTCCAACAACAAAATTGATCCACTTATCATCACAACAATTTTCTCATTTATTTTCCCTTTTCTCTCCCCTTAAAAAACAATCAATAGGTTAAATACCACAGCAAGGTAATGAAGTGCAGTTCATTTATTTATTTATTTAATAGCGCAATTAGCGAGTGCCTGGGAATTTCCCGGGGGGATTATTGAAATTCACTGTGAGAACGGGATAATTGCTGTTATCGTGAAATTGATAATGAAATATTCCAATATAAAAATGTAAATGAGTGGTTAATTGATGGGGATGATCGATATTGGTGGGATAATGGTGACAGTTCACTTGGTGGTGGAAGAGGTCGGATGGTTTCGTTGATGTAAGGGTGAGGGTGGATGAGGGCTCGGAAAGGGTGTCCCGTGGGAACAAACCCGAGAGGTTCGTTAACGAGTCTCACATCCAAGAGCTCTGCACGTTCTCTCTGTACTCTACAATTTACCGGTCTACGCAAGACCCGGTTCACATGTGAGTTTAATCTATATGAGTACACCGTAGACTCATGCCAGTATTCAAGCCCACGTTTTCCTATTATTCGAGATGCTATCTCGTTTAACTATTCAGGAAGGTGCCAAGTACACGAAAAATATCAATTTCACGCAGGTCTAGGCCGCGACGATCCATTGCGTCTAGGGGTCACTGACTTTGGAGATGATTGAGTGAAAATTACGTGAAGATCCAGGGATTAAAGCTCTGGAGAACGTGCACTTGTCGAATTCGCGAAGAGAGATAATTATTTTTGAGAATAGTTTTTAGTGGTGAGTGTTTATCGAGGTTTTCCAATAATCGCTTTAATATTAAATCGGTAATGTTTAAACCGATCCAGTTGTTGATATGTTATAAATAAAAATGTAATCAAGGAACTTTGAAGTTCAGATGGAAAATCAATGGCGTGAAGAGGGACTATTATCTCTCAGTTTTAGTGAATGCATTTTGGTGTCAGGACATGTTCTAGTGGAGTTACTCGAGGTTAATTCGAGTAATCGATATATCCTGACTTTTATCGAGTCATTGAGATTATTTGCATCGCACCAGCGACATTATATGCTATATTTTTTCACCCCTATATCGTGTCCATCAGTTGGAGCCACTGCACCAGCTGAAGATTGATGAGCGTGTGCTGAAACACCAGCACAAAGACACCGTGACATTTCCACGACCGTCACCCCTTAACCGGACAACTCTTATTTCATTTTTGTTCTCGGCATTTTCTCCTTCAATTCCCTTCTATTTTCATCACCTAGCAGCTGCTGCCAATGCCAGTATTGTCCTCGCAGGGCCCATTATGTTATTCCCATTTTCAACTTTTATGTCTTGACCTCGTGCAGGTTCATTTTGTGTTTTTCCACAGAATGGAGGAAAATATTTTTCCACGTGAATCAGGGAATCGTGTTGGGACAGCTTTAAAACTCGCTGGCCACACAAACACCAACAATTCATGCTCCGTCCGAGAAACAACGGTGCACCAGTGTTTGCGAATTAGTCGCAATCAAATGGCAAAATCTCGTGCCCTCGCGCCAACGTCGGCCCAACGTCACTCGATTTATGGGAAAAAAATCATTACGATTGCCACATTGTTATTTAATTAATACGAAATTGATGGAAAGTCAAAAAAAAATACAGAAAAAAAAATACAGAACAAGTGTGGACTCGAAAAAAAATCAATTTAATTAAGAGATTTAATTATTTAACGGATTCATTGAACGATTGATTGGGGAAATTCATGGGAGAAGTGGATTACAGTGATAGGGGGATTGAATATCGGTTTTTTGGGGATCTATCATTGATTTTACGATTCTTGACGGAAGTTCACACCCGGTGGAACGATTTTGGGAATAAATGACGTGACGTGTGGGGAATCGATTCACTGTTTCAGTGGTATTCCGATAATTTGACGGTTATCCCATTAGTCAATGGAGTGCGGGCATCAGGAAAAGCCACAAAATATTTACCAAGCTGTAGTGGTTTGAAAATATTTACCAGCCCGTAATTATGTGTAATTCTCGCATTAAAAATTCATGCCACGCATTTATTTCTTTGCAAAAATAAAAACATGAGATTTTCCCTCTCCCTCTCCCTCTCCCGTTTCTCCAAGAATCCTGAAATAATAATTTTCCAAAGTGCATTACACGAATGCCCGTGTAATTTTTACATGTAAAATTTCTTTCGGTGTAATTATCCAGTCCCCTGAACCCACAATCCATTAAAATTCACGGCATTGTCTCCAAGATGACTCTGTCTGGAATACAGTAATACCCTGGGGTGGATACACTTATGGCTGATTATCACGCGATGCTGTAATCCGGGAGTTCGTTGGACTTACTCAATCGCACCGAGCAATTAATTACCAGAGTCCGTTCAGTCTTGGTAATAAGGAATAGCACGAGCAACTCTGTCAGACAATGAGACCCCCGTGAAGTTTCGTACTTGCCCTGGGTGTTGCGCTATTTGCATGTAAATACTTGACGCCACAGCTGCCAGCGGGAAACTCTCATCGTGTCCAGGAATGGAGACATGAACCCGCAGAAAAAAAAAGGATTTAAAATTTCAAAATTCTCAAAATTTTTCCCTTTAATTATTCCAGGGAAAAATCCACGATTCAATTTCTTTGTCTATTTAAATTACCAATAAATCAATAAAAATTCAATTGATCAATCAATTGTTGTATGTTATTAATCATTAGTAATAATCATATTCAATTATTTTTTAATTATGGGAAATGATGGATTAATTGCTGTAAAGTTGATGAATTGTAAATTCATAGATTGCTGAATCAATTGAGCAGAATATAATGGATCGGTTTGTCCAGGGGATGATTGGGGGTAAAAATGAATATCTCAGGAATTCCCCGGGGGAATTTGAATTCGTTCACAGGGAAATGGTGTATCAGGATTTAGTGGCCCAGAGAAACTCGAGAGTGAGTTCTCGCGAGTTGTTCGACTATAAATTCACTTTGTGAGTACGTTGAAGGCCTCGCCTGGTATCCGAGTGCATTCACCAAATCTCAGGGATAATAGTCCCTGTTCACGCCAGTCGGGTTTTCCATCTGGGATTCAAAGTTCCTTGATTTGCCGGCTTATATCCAGTTCTATTTATTCCCATTCCCTTATTTTTATTTATAACCCATCAACAATTTTTAAAACTTCATTAAAATTTATTGGAACAACTCGATGAATACTCACCCTCAAAGACTGAGGTGTTTCAAAATTTCTAGGTTCTCATTTTTCTGGTCACCATCTCCAGGCACTTATCGGGTATTCAGTGCAGCTTCTTTTGGGCTTTGATCACTGAATTTTCACATTTTTATAGTTTTCTTTAATGAGTCATTGATTTACCTGTGGCGGGATCACTCAGGGCAATGACTGCACTTGCTAAGCACACAACACGCAAGCCGATAACGATCATGATGCGAATTGTTCCGCGCGCGGACGAGTACTGACTCCAGGAGTCACCGTACGCTCCACTCTCTCCCGCCAATTCTCCGCGCATGCGCTGGGTCTGACTACTTGCGCATTACTCTACTTGGTATACCTGTGGGTGAATATTTCGGGTAAAATTATTGGCCGTTTCCACTTCACCGGATACATCACTCCCCGATGTTTGTCGATTCGCATGAGGTGCCGATTTCAGAATGACGCAGATCTCTCTTTTTTTTAATCGAGTACGAATGCCCTGTGGATGTGGTAGGTGCGTTAATTATTGATGGGTTGATACCATTTAACCTGCACCTTCATGCCGTAGTGAGAAATATAGTCCGCGGGGGAGGACTTGAAATAACACACTGCGTTCTGTCATTACTTGCAATCGCGGGGGAAATATTCTGGCATGCGTGTTCGTGATAGCTATTGCTGGGGAATTATTATTAATTTGGATTTTCATGCTCAGACGGAAGTGCTCTAGGTTCCAGGTTCGACTTCTAGCCGGGAATGATGAGGTCTAACCATTTTTAAAGTCTTGATCAATCGCCACATCGTCGTCATGACTCGAAACGATGTAAAATAAATATTTAAAAAAAAAGAGTTGAACGTGTACTAAAGAGAATAGTCACGACTTGTGGGGATGAATGAGTGCCATGAATCCCTGAGGAAAAATGAAAAATACTCCTCTGGAAATATTGAAGGAATGGATATCAGTTCAGGTGTTAAAAATTCATCCGCTCTCCAGTGGTGCCTCTTCAATAATTAATTTCACTGGAGACACCGCAATGGGAATGTCGAATCGCTGGAATTGATTACCCCTGATTTACAGCATGAAAATTCATGCCGTGGATCCATTTTTTCCACCAGGAAACTGCACTAATGGATTTAATTACTCCCAATTAATCAAGGACAATATTATTTACACAGTAATAACTCCAGTTTCTTATGCATGTAAAATATATATTTCATATTGTAATTTCAGAAGTAATTTAATCAGATGAATCGATAATGGAAAAATGGTAAATTCGACTCATCTCTCTACTCCTTTGGTATTTAATTTAGAGATTCTTTTCAAGCGCTGGATAAGGCGTCGCCCATTCATTGCCAGAGAGAATACACGTATGAGAAAATTTAATAGATAAACCTCGCGCCGTCCCCAAGAAATTCTATTGAATTTTTATAAAAATTCAAGAATTCCATTAAAACACCATAAAATTGATTGATGCAGCTAGTTGTTTTATGAGAATAAAAAATAAAATGAATGGTTTACTTAAAAATAATGCAAGCCTTTAAATGAATATTTTTTTTTGCCTGACTTATCAGGTGTTTGAAATAGAAAATTCAATGGATCTTGGAGTTGTCGCTATTTTCAGGCGTTCAATCGTATTTATCTTGATGGTATTGTCCTCTCATTGACCTCATCTCACTCATCCCTTGGAACTGACACATTGGCAGGGCCGAGTAGCCCCTGTCATTATTGCACAACCGAGTAACGACCAACGAGGAAAACGTGACACTCGTCGCACACTCGCACTGGTTTCGCTGAATTCGACATGGCAATTGTGTTGTCACTGCATGCATTGCAGAAAATCTTTCCGCAATTTCGACAATGGTGCTGAAATACAAAAGAAGTCCATTTGAAATGTTAGTTTCCAGCGATATAAAACCGTTTTATCCTAGTAAATGGGTTGGCACTGGAAAAAAAAAATTGGCTGACAGCAAATGAAAAATAGAAGGGGAAAAAATTTCCCATAAATGCGTCATAAATCCTTGCAATTACGTGCGAATGTATTTTCTTCGTTATTTTTTTCCTAGGAATTCTGGGGCTCAGGCCATTAGGAAACCGCAACGCCCCATTTTGGTTCCACCGGAATCGAATCGGGGATTCAATGATCCCCGGGGAATCCGGGCAAAAATTCCAGAGATACTTTATTCATTCGGTCGATTAACGATTTTCAGCCGCAGAGGGTAATTATCGAACTATCCAAAAAGACGAAAAACTGATCGAATACTTTTTCTCGATATAGGGGTGGAGAAATAACAGAAAAGGGTGCCAAACTGTAAAATCTATACAGACATCGGGCGTTTAGAATCCTGAACTCTGGTAGGAATTTCAACACAACCAAATGGTAATTCTCGGCACGATGCTTTTATATTCCATTCATGGAGTTTTTTTTTTCTAGCAGCCCCGGGGAAATATGCATATTCACGCAGAGCCGTCAGGCTGATAGAGACGTTTCGCATCCGGGCTATAAAATACGTTTGGGCCGATCTCGCACGTCTCAACACCCCGGAGCATATCCTGGTGTGAGGCTAAGTTATTGCATAATAACACGCCCGTAACCGTCTCTGTTACTTTTTTTTTTCCTGGTCAGACATTACCATATCGTTTAATATAGAACAGGGGAGAGTATCATAGACGATGAAGCCAAACGACTTGTTTATATTTAACTGTGAAAACAATAAAGCCGATGAAAATGACAGGAAAATCCAGAAAGGCATTTCTACATTAATTAATTCATTGAATTCACTTTTCAATTCAATGTTTAATTAATGCTGAGAAAATGTAATTGAATAATTCCTTAAGAAATTGGTAGAGTAATTAAATGTTTTTATCTATCATGATAAAATTCTGGGCACTTGGCAAAGTATGGCTTCTTTTTCTATAATGCTGTAATGAGGAAAAAAAAGAGTTGCAATTAAAAAGTTTGATTACCTTGCGACGAGTTATGTTGAACTCTCGGGTGCAGCCCTTGCAGTGGGTAAAATGCCGATCATTCGCCCATGCAGCTGAACCCTCCTGATTTGCCTGATGGTGAGCATTGTCAGCTGCTTCGCGTAATTCAACAGCTGCTAGTTTAGCTGCACTCAATTGGCCACCCAACTCCTCGAGTGTGTGCTCTTGTTCCGCGCAGATTTCACGGAGGGCGTAGTGCTCTTCCTGAAGGGCTAAATATTTCTGGAATGCAGGGGTTCAAGGGTTTTGTCGAGCATTCTCCAAAAAAAAAGAGAATTAATGAAAGCCTTTCTCATTTTTGGATAAAAGTTTAAGGCTGAGAGGGGAATAATGACCCACTTGACCCACATTTTTCACCCAAACAAATTTAGAGGCGATTCGCCATGATTTAAAGGTCGAACTGGAGGAGAATTTATCTTGACCTTCACGGTTGAGCCTCCAATTTTGGAAAATACGTATTTTAAACTCAACCTGGGGTTTGAGGCAGACAAAAAAATGGGTCTAATGGGTCAATTTTGTGGGTCAACAGCCGGAAATTCTTTTATATTCACGGAAATTAATGTTTTTGAAATTTAAAAAGCTAGATTTAACACTTTTCCAAGGGGAGAGGCGTCAACAGTTAATTGAAACTATTATCCCCTTTTTTTCTCACCCCCATTGTTACCTCTCTGACTTGTTTCAATTGGTCGATCTCCTGGTGCAGCTGAGATATCTTTTCAGTACTGGATATTGAAGCTTCTTGGAGGGAAGTGCGCCATTCTCGTTCGACCCTCAATTCCCTTTCAACCCCATTCGCCCTGGCCTCCCTTTCCGCAACTTCAGCCCCCAACAGGCGAACTCGCTCCTCAACCCCCGTCTTCGCACCATCAATCTCTTTGCATCTGGGAGGATTCAGAAGATGAATATCGAGGGGCTTAAGTTTATCGAGGGATCGTTAATTATGAACTGCCGACGCGATCTTCAGGTAATTAAACACGGAGAGAAATAATTGAGAGGCAATTAAAGTCTGGCTTCGTCAGATCAATGAACGACTCCGAGGAAAAGGATTTCCACTTGTCATTGGATTTTCAAAAACTGAGATATTTTATCTCTCCGAATTTTTCCCTCAACTCTAGATTATTTTTTATTTTTCGAATTGAGTGATTTACTTGCGTTAGAATTCGTGAAGAGTTTTCACGTGAATCAAGGACAAACTTGGAAGAGTTTCTGGAATGAAAAGATTTTTCCTGGGGAGTAAGAAATCCTTTTCCTCTGGGAATGTAAATTCTTATGATGATGAATAACTTGTAGGACTGCCGGCTGATGCTCGGAGATTTCAATTTTTAATAATGCTTCAGTCTGTAATCTAGCGCTGATAAAGCGAAAACTGCTGCACCGAGGGGGTGGATCAATAACCGATGTTGGCGCTTTCTCAGGCATGACCTGAATTATTATCCGATACCACGAGATAGCACGGGAATTCAATAAATAAATAAATTTTCAATGACTCTAGATTGATATCCAATGAGGGGAAATATCGAATGTCTCTCAGATGAAGCCAATAACTGCAGATTATTACTCATGTTTATTGATTTATTAATTATAGTACAAGCTTTCACATTATTCAATCTCCAGCGATTGCTGGGTTTTATTATTCAGAGTGATAAATAGCTCCTTTCATCCACTTATACATCGAAATCGTGGCTTTTTTATGAGGAAAATCGTGGGCAATCGTTCTTTACGCATCGTTAAATAAAAACAGAGATAGCACTCGACGATTGAACGAAGGGATGTTTATAAAACTTGAATTATCAACTTGCACGGGGGGAACATTTACTAATTGAATTACTAGGTACAGTCTCTCGTTTTTAATAGAATGGCAATCCCACGGGAGATGAACGAAATCTCCGAGCAGTCTCCAGTTATTTGATAATTTTTAGTGAATGGGCAATGGAAAATTAAAAAAAAAAACGTACTTTTCATCCATTTTTTGAATCGTTTCCGACATGGATGTCGTCTTAGCCTCCAGTTTAGCAATCAGTTCGGTTTTGTGCTTTAGTGAACTCTCGCACTCCTGAAAGTAATAGTTCTTCAACAAAATGGTTGCGACTAGGTTGCGCCAGTGATAAGCTGATATACATTATTCGAGGGGCTTTTTTGTTATTGTTATTATTATGTTTTTTTGTTATTTCTCAAAGTAATTGTACAAGAAAAAATTTTTTCAGTTGCTCGAGGATTTTTGCAGCACGGGATCTGAAATTTTTTCTCTAGATTTTGACGCGGTGAGAGCGGATTCGTTATCGCTGGCACGACGTCGGCCCTCTGGTTCGTCCTTGGGTTCTGCTGGTACTCTAGGTGTCAGCGGATCCTTTGGAGATGTTGGACTTCTCAGGAATGGCTTCATTCCACTTCCTGGGGTTGTTGGGCTGTCTTTCATCAGGTGATTATACTTTTCGAGATTATTTAGGATCTTGCCGATTTGATTTGTCTTCGCGTGCAGTCGACTCACCATCTCACCTTTCTGGGTCAACTCGACTTCACACTCCTAGGGGTGATTTTTAAACATGGAGAGATGATTAATAACCCAGACACCAGATAATTCGGTTGCGTGGATGTTCATCTTCCAATTGAAATCCAAAACTACTGGCTATCCGTACGAGAAGTATTTTATGATTAATAAATTCAGGGGATTTGAAATTGCCAATTGTTTTGGATTTTTTCGGGGTTTCCACGGAAGCTGAAATAATAAGTGATTCGTCGGTGCAAAAACAGAATTTTTTGCCAAATATTTATTGTAAATAATCTCAAAAACATAAAATATACAAAATAAAGAAAATTTTGTGCAGTTGTAAACCGAAATAATAAAAAAACAACAACATGCAGGAGACGATATAGAACCGAAATAACCTAGACATCAAATGATCATTGAAATTAATCAGAGAGACTCCTCCATCTCCCTATTCACCTGTAATTTTTTGTACATTTCCAAATTAATGAGTTTGATATCCTCCAGTTGTCTTCTGAGCGATATGATTGTGTCCTGCTTCTCGTGGATGTCTTTCTCCAAGAGCTTCATCGCTACTTCCATCTCAGATTTCATGCTGATCTGTTGTGTACAAAAATACGAGTTTACGAGTTTAAAATTTTCAGATTAATTGATTAGAGCTTCACCTGCAGTTCCAGCTCCTTCTCAGCCTCGAGTCGTAATTTCTTCTCATTTTCTAATCTACACCTGAGTTCCTCGATTTCCGTTGTTGTCTCGGTTATCTTGATCGGTGCTTTGCCATTCTGAAACAACGATTGAATGAATAAACCGTTTCCCTCCTTGAACTCAAAAACGTGGAGTACCTCGTGAGTGTCCTTGACCTCGATTCCCAATTCCCTTTTGAGTTGTCGCTTCTCGTCCTGGAGTATCAAGTTATTATTTCTTGCAATTGCCAAATCCTCCTTCATAAGTGCATTTGTAGTGGTCAGTGACTCCACCTTCGCCTGGAGGTTGGTGACAGTAGCACTGAAAGCAATAAATTCCTCATCACAGATCCAGACTAGAAAGACGAGCAATGAAGAACTGTCGAGTTGTATTACTTGAGATGACGATTCAATTCCTCGATGTAGTTCTTCTGATCGAGAACAGTCGTCATGTTGTCATTCTCCAGCTCCTCATCCAGTGAATCCCCAGGTATGTGATTGCTATTCCTGAGGTAGAGCGAGAAGTCGATGACCCCTTGTTGACAATCGAGATCTTCCTCCTAGCGACGATTAATTCGATATATCAATCGGCCCTCGTGATATCAATTAATTGACTAACCTTGACGCAGAAATTGCAGTCAATGACGTTGAGGCCAACGAGCAGTCCCATGATGACGATAGCCTCTTCACTTAACATGAGGGCATCGGGCTCGAAGTACTCAGAAAGCAGATCATCGCGATGATCGATCAGTACCTTCAGGTAATCCGCGAGTTTCTTCTGCATTAGGGCCATGCGGAGCCATGCACGAGCTCTGCCCATCGCTGTTCTCACGGTGGGCAGATGTCGAATGCTAGATGTGATGTCTTGCGCCTCAGGGCAGTACTTTTCGACAAGCTGGAGGATATCCCAGAGCTCCTTCTTCGGTCCAAGAAGACCCTGCAAAACTCAAGGACTTAGCGTCGAGTTTTCTCAATATTTTTTTCGGTTCGTTACCTTCTTGGGTCGAAGTCCGTGCCTGAGGACATGCTCCAGGACAATAAAAAAGTGCTGGAGTGGCATGTGATCTGAGTCGAGCATGCGCCCATACTTGAGCGATGTCTCGATCAACTCTTTCACTATTAGTTTCGATATGTTAACGAGATTGCTGCGCTCGATTATCACCGGATCGCGAGCTGCAAGAATAATTACTGCATTTTATCGGGGCCGGGGAATTAGATCTCGGTCTAATCATCACTCCCACCGATCTGGGGAGACAGGACATCGCGGTTAAAGCACATCGTCTCGAGGGAATCCAAGAGGGAGACAGCTCTCGAAAGCAACCAGTCGATATCTCGTTACCAATACTCCAGAGAGAATTGTGACCTCTTGTCCCTTGAAGGGTTCGAAGACCGGAGTCGTTGTCTCCCACTTGGATCTCCTCGACGTCTCAAAGATACTACGTCTAGAAACAGGTGCAAGCAAATACAGACACAAGCTCGAAAAGTGCTGAATTGGCGGTGGGCTTAGCGGGAGAATATCGTAAAGCTCTGATTGCTCAGTCGATTGCTGATGACGATCGTGAGGTACACGATTATTTGGTATACCGCTGAGGGTGAGGGGTGGCGACGGCGATCGCATTGATTCCTGCATGGAGAACTCAACGTCATGAAGCTCCTTCAGGCAGAGCCATTCACCATCAACTGACACACGAAAATTGCACAGATAGATGGTGTCCTGTGCACCAGCTATGTCCTGCTCAATCATGGCTCCACCGTGCAGCGGAAGGTGAGCCAGGGGCTGAAGGTTCAAACCGGTTTAAGCCTCCTGCCGCATAGAAATACCTGGGACTCACGTTTGTCCTCAAGTCACTGAATATGTATCTTGTCGATGAATTTTTCGATTCAAGCCGCTCGTTATCAATTGATAACACCGGTTGATTGATTGGGGACCGGATGGTGATCGAATCGGCGATTTCTTTGGGTTTAGGCGACGAATGCAAACTTCATTATTCGATTCGTCGAGTCTTGGAGACACCAAAGGGCGAATGTCAATCCTTGAGTGCCGCGTCAGCACAGGATACCGATTATTATAATATAATGTAATATATAATACCGATTTTTGTTTTTTTGGGTACAGGACGCGCGAACTCTCGGTGGAACTTTAATTACGAAACTGGGGTTTTCGGGACAGTTTTATCAACAACGAATTACGACAGAACAATTCACTCCTGTGCACGTTGCAGTGAAGGAAACGGTGGAATCCCCTTCGCGCATGGCGGTATTGATTCCAAGGGACGACCTTACCTCCATCTACGATAATCAATAGGGGAGAACATGGGGAAAACCTCGGGACGTGCTGTCACCTGCTGTTACTCGTTTGCACCGGGTGGGAAAACTTCTTCGCAGGTTTTGATGTTTATCAACAAGTCCAGTCATTGTTGATAATTTAATATCGAATTGAAATCGAATTAATTAAAAACAAAATTTTTTTGAAACTAACAAATTAAATTTTGGATCTTCTTGAATCCAATTTAATAAAAACAATTATTTTTGGACGTAAATAAATCGGTTTACTACATTCTATCAAATTTTTCTATCAGTGGAATTATTTTATATCCAATTTTTATTCCAATTGCTTTTTCCCCAAATTTAATTTCAAAAAATTCTCATTGTTCTTGTAATTTTATTTCTCCTTCTCATTTATTTATTAATTTTCCTACGTTTTTAAAAATATTTATAATGAGATAAAAAATTTACGACATTGTGTAATGATTAATTTTATCACTGCAATATTTAAATAAATGGAGTAAATTGTAGACCGATTGATGCGAAATTCAAAACTTCCCGCCACCCCTTCCCTGATAAATCGGCAAAAAATTTACTCACGTCTGGGCGACCACCAGGCGTCGAGTTTTCTCGGCCTGGAGACGACGAGATCGGGCCATTTATCCTCCCGAATGGAATAACTCGATGGTGATCTTGACACACTGGCCTGTTCATTGTCATCTGACACCAAACTACCGGTGAAGGACTTCTCCGAGGGAGAAATCGGTAAACTCTCGTTTTCCCCGGACATAATCACTCACCAACATCACCACGATCCACCAGAATCACCAACGGACACACCCTAAACTTTCAAATTCACACCTGCACTTGAAATTGTTGTCAATTCTCCGGTGCATCAGGTGCACGAACTGTTATTTTTTTTACTGCCTTTTTCGTTGTGAAGTTCTCCAGGGCTTCGTAGCTTCAGAGCCCTTGCACCTCTGGCCATCTGCTGGGTCAATCGACAAGTTTTTTGTTAGTTACCGATGAAAAAATCTCAAAATCCCTTTCTACCACTCAAAATTACTAAAATCAAGTAATTATTGTGGATCAAATAAATAATTATCACCTTCAGATTGATATGAGTCGGATTTTTTTAATAACAATTTTGCGGTTTACTTTTGAATTTACCGCGAAACTTTTTTTGACAGCTCTGTTGGTACATTTGATCATCTGTTTGGACAGGAGTTCTGTCAAAGTCCGATGGCAGTTCAGTAGCTCTCGATCGACCAGAGGGAAATCTGTCTGTTGACGCCAACAAGCATTTTAACCTTGATCGGAGGTTCAATGGCCAAGAATTAAACGAGAGAATTGCATGTCTCCGTAGCAAGCACGTGGACGATATTTATTTGTGTTTATTATTATTCTCAAGGCGATGGATAATTTTTTTAAGATTGAGAAAATTGGGGAGGGTACTTACGGAGTTGTTTATAAAGCAAGGGACAAAGTCACAGGGAAACTTGTGGCGTTGAAGAGGATTCGACTGGAGACGTAAGGATTTTTCTTTTTTGGTTTCATTTTTTTGAGGAGAGAAGAAGAAATAACAGGATCAACAAACAGTAAATCCAGATAATCAGGTTGTTGACGTCATGGAGTGTCAACAGTTTTGTTTATCAATTTTTGTTCTATGGAATTTTCTAACTTATGAATTATTTGATTACTGCTGCCTCTGCTTGGAATCGAAGGGTTTGTTGGGTTCGATTTGGTGGATTTGTGGTTGAAGTTGATATCTATTGGATTTTTTAAAATATTTTTTTGATGCATTTAGGGAGTCCGAAGGGGTGCCGTCCACTGCGATCCGAGAGATTTCTCTCCTCAAACAATTGACACATCCTAATATAGTACAGCTCTTTGACGTTGTCAATGGAGACAAGGACATCTACCTTGTGTTTGAGTACCTTCAGCAGGATCTTAAGAAGTTTCTCGACTGTGCTAAGACCTGTACTGTCAATCAGGAGCACTGGAACGCCCTCGTCAAGGTACGGAAAGCACTCAATGTTTTTCTCCTGGGATAATTAGAGATGATTTGACATTAATATAATTTTTTCCTCGTATTTAGAGTTATCTTCACCAACTCCTGGACGCCATCTCCTTCTGCCACCTCCATTTGATGCTCCACAGAGACCTCAAGCCCCAGAATTTACTCATCGACACCGAGGGACACATAAAACTTGCGGATTTTGGACTGGGTAGGGCCTTTGGAGTTCCGATGAGAATGTACACTCACGAAGTCGTCACCCTCTGGTACAGAGCACCTGAGATTCTCCTCGGGACCAAGCTGTACTCCCATGCTGTAGACGTTTGGAGTCTTGGCTGTATTTTTGCAGAGATGGTGGATAAGATCTCAATATTTGCTGAATGTCTCTGGGAATCGTTAATTAATTATTTATTTTATTCAAGGCCACTAAGAGAGCACTGTTTCCTGGGGATTCTGAGATTGATCAACTCTTCAGGATTTTTCGAACCCTCGGAACCCCTGACGAGGAGATATGGCCAGGTGTCTCCCAACTTCCTGATTACAAGTCCATGTTTCCACAGTGGGACCCCAGAAATCTCGAAGAGGTCATCCCCAATTTCGATAACGATGCCAAAGACCTTTTTTCGGTTTGTACTTTTATTCAAAAATATTTATTATACTAATGATTACCTTTTTAATTAAAGTAAATGGATATTGAAACGTAGACATTTTTTAGGTTTATCTATTTTTTTTTCGAAGATATTTATCGTTTTTATTATCATTAGTATTTATTACTGCCTTTACATTTAAGAGAGTTGATAAAATGAATTTTAATTCATGAAATTTGTGAAATATTCGAAATATCTGGATTAAAACAAATTTTCTTGTTTTGTAGAAATAAAAAAAATGGGAATTTCTGGTCGAATGTGAAAGATTTATTTTCTATTCTCATGTTTCAGAAACTTTTGACATACGATCCAAGTGAGAGAATATCAGCGATGGAAGCTCTGAACCATCCCTACTTCAACAACGTCAAGCTAGTGCCCCCAATTTTGCCAAAGAAAGACTGAAACAATTCTTCAAGTATTCTGTTCCACACCCGAACAATTTACCCCTCATATCAGTTACAATTACCAATGTTAATGCTATTTTTATACCAAAAGTTAGAAATACGAAACCATCTGTCGACCAATACAGTGCACTCGAGTGATTAATTCTGGGAATTCATTAAAATTCAATTTTTATTACGTGCGATTCGCTAATGCTGAGGTCTCGATTAATTTTGGAAGTTTTATTTCCGGGGATTTAATTTCCAAATTTTGGTGAAGAGGTGGATTGGGGGATTGCGGTTGGAGTTTTGGGAGATGAAGACCTGGAGATGATCGAGAACTCTCTGGGGAGTGAGAGCCTAATTTGCTGGGAGTTGAGACTGGAGAATCCTGGGGGCTTTTCACCCTCGAGGATTCCTGTTTTTCCATTACCACTACCTGGGGTGTTGGGGCTCGGGACTGGAGACTAGTGATAACAGCTCGAGGAGTCACTGGAGACGTCACTGACGAGGGACGAGTCTTCGTTGGGGTCGAGGGCGGAGGCGTTGGCTCTGGCTTCTTCGAGTCTGATTCATTCTCCGACTGCAAGTCCCAGAAAAATCCCAGTCAAGCTTTCATCTAATTTATTACCGCCCTAGAAATGTGCAGACTGACCTGGCTATTCAAAATCTCGAGACTAGTGTAATGCTGGTGATGAGTCGAGGTTTTCAAAGTGCGAGAAAATAACTTGAAATTGTTTTTCATTTTTACAGTTTTACGATAAAATTGTAAAAAAAAAAATTGGGAGTTTTCCCTGAAATCAATTTCACAGTGTCTCTCTCACACTTAAATCCCCCCGACTAGCAAAAAATCGGCTCAACTCAGCGTGAAGGTGAAGAAACTCAGTGCAATATCCTGGATATTCGGCTGTACTGATCTACGAAAAATTCTACACTCCCAATAAAAACAGCCGCTCAAAAAATCCCAAAGAGGACGAGGACTCAGGGTGCAAGAGAATAAAGTGCGTATATTAAATTTAGAAACAAAAATATTATTATAATCAATTAATCCCTAAGTAATGATCTTTACGATAGAATACAGTTGATGGTCATTACACACTTGTCATTACTCTGTTTCACATTAGAATTCTCTTATCATAATTACTCTCAGCATTTATCATTTATTGTTTAATGGATACGATAAACTCGTGTTGACGAAGTTGTGATATCTCTATCATTAAATATTATTAGTCTTTAATAAACGCATTGTTATGACGTATTTGATTATCCTCGTCGTAATCAAAACGCATCAAGCGGTTAAATGTGTATGTTTGTGATTTTAATAATTAAAAGTTCAACGTCTAGGGAGAAATGTGTACATGTGGACCACTGGAAATCAATTCTTCCACTAGTTTGTGAAGATTAAAATTGTGACACGATTTCATTACTCCGTTCTCTTCCCAAAACAATCAGCTACTCCAGTTCATTTTTTTTAAAAAACATTTTTGATAATTCGCAACGTACAATATCTACACAAACCATAATTATACGAGTACTCTGTATTTATCTCTGAAATATCAATGGAATGAGTCTCGGTATGGGCTAGCCACTCCTCAAATAAACATTTTTTATCCTCAACAACTGGAAATTATCCAATTGATGAAATAATTCAACACATTGAAAAATCTTCTACTGGTTCTCATGGCATATTCGCAGAGAAAATTCCCGAGTTATTGCTCAATGATTATAAGTTTGGGTAATTTATCACAATACACTTAATTGCAACATCGGCTTTCCACGGGGATCGGTACCTCAGGTATTGGTTAAACTCCAACGAAATAAAATGCCTAAATGCGTTAGTGCGATGACGTGATGGCGATGACGTGTGATCCGCCTGGCAGGATCATTTTTTTTTGTGGACCTCTTGTCTTGCTCGAGGCGTCCTTCATCTTTGAATTTTTTTTTCTGTTATTTCATGTAAAACGCAATCAAAAGCGGGCACTCAAGCTAGGGGGGAGCATTTAGCTTTCCTGGTTGAGATTCTCGTCCGACGTTGGCAGGCCGTTCTTCCCGTCGATGAAGGAGTTGGACGGGACCGGACTCTGTGACAAAATAATTATTCTCTTGATTTTATCACCTGACAGACTCGACAATTCGAGTCTTCATTATTTTTAAATCACTGGAAAACCTTCAACGACAATTTTACATATTCTTTCATATTCTACACCGATATCAAAATTTCTCAAAAATCATCATTACTGATATTAATAATAATGATAAGTTCTAATTCCCGTGTATTTTTCCGCGAAATATTCCCGACTTCTTCGCGACACTGAAATAAAAATCTCCGATGAAAACACATCTCTCTGGCTCTTCAAGTAGTCAAATGGATTTAATCGTTTCGTCAGGTAATTGCGG